AATAGCTAAAATATATGATGGTCTTTTGGAATCAAGCTGGGAGATTACATGGGAGGAGCAGGGTGCAGCAAGGCAGTTTGACAGATGGAATAACTGCAAACTCATGGAGTTTCAGTGCAATCAAAACTTTCTACAAAGAACTTGTCAGAGGACTTCCCTGAGTCCCATCAGGAGATCCAGGTGACATAATCAGTGCCCTTAAGCCTCTTAGCTATCCCTCCCTGCATCTAGCTCAAAATCCATAAATTCACCCAAACCAGCACTGGAAGGAACTTCTGGAGAATTTGTCAAATTTATTCCACTGCCTCAAAACAGATTCAGCTCTCTGAAGTGGAGTTTGGCCAGCCTGCACTTCAGAACTGCCACGATGGAGACTCCAAGCCCATCCCAAACCATCTGTTCCACTGCTCCGCTCCTCTGGCAATCAGAGGTTAGGAAGTTTTTCCTATACTTGTTTCCCTTGCTGCAGTTCAAGCTCAGCGCTTCTTGGCCTCCAATCACCATCCATGTAGAACAGTTTACTCCCTTCCCCTTCACAGCCACCTTTGCCATACTTGAGGACTCTTATTTCTCCTCTCAGCCCTCTCATCCCCAAACAACTCCATTCCTTTTAGTCTTTCTGTTTTCTATATTTTTGCTCATTTTTTGGTGCTTTTCTCTGGCGTGTCTGCAACTATTTCCTATTTTTCTTAATGGGTAGAGCATCCCGAATGAGGCATGGCACAGCTGAGCATGGGAGTGACAGATTAAAACTCCTTAGAGAGAAGAGAGAAAAAAAGGAGATAATTTTGCACAATACCTATCTTTTGTACTTTGCTGCAGAATAAAGAGATGTTCTTTCTTCTCCCTCCTATAAAATTTCATCCCAATCAGCACTGTGCCAAACTTCACCTGGCATTTCCACTACTTGACAGCCTATGATACTTCTGCACTAATGGTCCTACTTCAGTCCACATCCCACATTAAGGAGGACATCCTTACAATGCATTTTCAATTGGGATATGAAGGATCTACTTCAGCCACCAAAATAAGCCCTTCATCAAGGAGTTGCCCTTAGGAACAGGGCTGCAATCACTAAATCAGCCCTTTAACCTCTTCTTGCTTGTCCCAGCAGAGAAGAGCAGCTCTTCCAATGACCTTGATTAAACTGCTTTTGCTTGATGTAAGAACGACACTGATGCACAAAGCCAAACCCAGATAAACCAGCTGGGAGGAAAAAAAAAAACAAAACCCAAAGCAATAAAGGACTGTACAACCAGTACATGACGAGAAGCTTTTGTTTTAGTCAGAACTGCAGACATACATCTCAACCAGACAGCAAATACCCTGACTTCATGGTACATAAATGAGCAGGCAGAGCACACTGATCTAACGATAGGGAGCCGAGCTGCTCTATGACAGCACTTGTTTTTTACAGTGCTTCCCTGCCAGACAGCCCACCCCCGAGCCCATCGTGCCGGGCAGCAGACAGACACCAACCACTGCTCCAAGCCCAGGTCTAACACAGGAGACAACAGACAGGCATGTCCAGCAGGAGAGGACCAGGAGACAGTGAGTCAGTGCAGGACCAGCACAACACATGCTGGTCTCAGCTCGTTGGTCACACAACTGAAGCCCAGGGTTTTGTTTAGGGATTGGTTTGTTTTTTTAAACATTTTTACGTGTGTTTTAAGGAGGAGCCAGGAGGAGAATTAAAAGACAGTTCTGTGATTGGTAGCTGCGTACAAGGAGACCCTTCCATGCATGAAAGTCAGAGAGGCAAAGGTAGGAAAACAAGCTTTTTAATCGGGTCTGTAGCAACAGGACATAGGACAATGGTTTTAAACTGAAAGAGGGTAGATTCAGACCAGATATGAGGAAGAAAGTTTTTTTAAATGGGGGTAGTGAGCCACGGGCACAGGTTGCCCAGAGAGGTGATGGATGCTCCATCCCTGGAAACAAACAAGGCCAGGCTGGAGAGGGCTCTGAGGAACCTGGTCTAGTTGAAGATGTCCCTGCTCATTGCCAGGGGATTGGGATAGATGAGTTTTAAACCTCTCTTCCAACCCAAACCATTCTATGAATGTACAAGATGTGTTTGTCTGAGAAAAAGCAATTAAGCAAGAGGACAAGGGAGCTTGATGTCCCAAGCAGAGCAGAGGTGAAAAGAGATATTTTGGTACTTCAATTACTTTTGACCTTCAATTGTTTGCTTAGCTTTTGTTATCAATATTACAGTAGTATTTACTGCCAAACTGCCCAGAGTCTATATGAACCCCTGTATGCAGTTGTGAGACTGAAAAAAGGCACACTTTGTTTCACCTTTAAGCAGTCATCGTTTGATCATTTGAATGTCCCTCAACAGAAGAGAAACTCACAACACTAATATTTCCCAGAGCGTTGTACAAATAGATCCCACAATCTCACATAAACACAATCCTCTGAAGTGAAACAGAGCAGGCACTGCTGTAAATGCAGATTAATGCTGCACAGATCAGGTGTGGAGTTCACCACACCTTTATCAACCACCCTGAATGGAAGTCAGAGAGAAAATTTAGTCCTTTCCTTTCTTGCCATAGATCTCCTTGAAAAATAAAAGCAATACAAAACCAGGCTTATAAAAGCACAGCACTTCAAGGACAGCGTTAGCAACACACCCATGTGCAGACACATACATTTGAAAGGCACTTGTCAAAGAAAAAATAAATCTATCCTCTCCCCTGTGTCAATACAGCCAGAGCAGGAACTTCAAACCCCATTAGCAGCATCCTGCAGCCTGAGATTTCTCCTCTGAGATCTCAAAGCAGAACGTAAACTGAAGACATAAGGAAAGTGGCAAAGGCAGCAATTCAGCACCTTCCCTTTGAGGCCATACAAAAGCCGGCATAAACTGCCTTTTGTGCACAAAAAACCAAAGTCCAGCCATGTGGGTTTATTGTGGACAAAGGCAGGTTTTACAGAAGGAAAGCCATCACTCTCAGGCTCTGGACAAACAAGCTGCTCTGAACTACTCTCAAGGAGAGCCTGTTCCACACGCCAACATCCTAAATGCACACCACAGCTACATAAATACAGCATCAGTAATAATGCATTAAAAGGCAAAGGTACAAGGCACCACCAAGTGAGACACAGTCCAAGCTAAAGGCCAACACTTTCAAATTCAGCCACTGATGCAGGAAGCTGGTGCAACTGGTGTGACTGGAAGGGAAGTCCCACTGACCACAGTGGCGGGACTGCTTCAGCACAGAGTCCCCTTGAGTGACATCTGCCAAGCATCGCTTCCTGCCCCGAGGAGGCTGCGTGGGATGGCTGGGCACATCTCAGCATGGCTGCATTTCCTCTTGGGGGAATGAGGATGTTTTGAAAACATAGGTGGCTTGCAAAGCACTTTGGGATGCATGTGGATGAAAAGCACTCTTATGCACATCAATAATTAGCACTAACTGCCGGCGTGTCACACCCTCCATGTAGAGCATTTAGCAGATTTATTCAGCTCTTGCTAGAATGCCAGAGCACAAACTGGATATTCAGACCGTGATGTGAGCGCCCTTTCATGGGGCAGATGCTGGGGAGCTAATGATGTTTGATGAATTAAGGCCATTGGTGACTCAGGATCAGCAATTAGTTGATTTCTGCGGGAGGAAGGTGCTTTGCTCCATTAAGCTAAAAGCATCCTCCACAGTTCAGCATGCACAAAGTCATTCTGTCCACCTCCCACAAAGCCTGCCTACGTTCATTTGGGGGTTGGTACTTCCCACATAAACACTCAGGTTTACCTTACTGGATTCCCTAGCAGTTCCATCCTTCAGCCTTGTGCCAACCTGATATTCCCTGGAAGAGCATAAGGCACACAAGGAAAGAATTGCCAAGAGCAACTGGACGCACAGTCTAATGCAAAGGGATATGGTACCACTGATGTCCATGGGGCTGACCCCTTTTTTGGGCAAGGCTAATAACACTATCACAAATCAGACACAACCACAGTCCTGCTCTAGCCTGCAGTACGGGACTACAGACATCCATCTCCCTCTCAAGGGTAGGCAGTGATGCTTCCATCAATCATTAACAGGCACTGGGGAGACACCAGCCGCACTTGTTCTGCCTGCCATTCCCCAAACGCATGCAGGCAAAAGCAACAGGACCAAAGGATGATCTGGCTGGCGTTACCCCAGGAAAGGAGAGCATCCAGCTCCCTCCCAGAGGCTGCATTCCAGTCATCTGAAGGCTGGCTGAGGCTGGTCGCTGGTGTCAGGGAGTGGGACCCTTGACATCCCGGGGAGCGATGTGCCAAGTCATAGGACGGCAGCGCGTTTCTGAGCGCTAACGCTCGTGGCACATGGCAGGACTATCAGGCGGAGGACGCAAAGAACAGTTATTTCTTTCAATGAGTGGGGAATGTGACAGAGCTGGCATTTGGACCCTCTTTTTACAACTTCTTTGAAGTGTTTGATCTCAGCCGCTAACGACACAAAGGCTATCGAAGCGCTACTGGTGCTATCTTCAAAGGGTTCCGAGGTTCAATGATTAATAGGAGCCCTGCACGGGATGGAGGAGAGCGACTATTACGGGAAGGTTGGGGGGATCCAAGACGCGGTAGTACTCTTACTCTTTGGGACCAAGGTACTCCCAGCCTCCCCTAAAACAGCCGACTCCAAAGGCGGGGGTGTGACCGTCGCAGGTCCCGGGTGAGCCCGGCCACCGCGGGGCGCAGCCAGAGCGGCCCCGGCGCCGCGTCCGCTCCAGCGCGGCCGTCACCGCCCACCCCGCCACCCCGGGCAGGGAACAAGCCGGGGGCCCGGAGATGCTCCCACCCGCCTTCCCCGAGAGGCGGGGAGCCAGGGGCGTTCGTTCCCGGCCCGGGCAAGGGGCACCCCCGCCCAGCCGAGCCTCCGCGGCGGCGGGAGAGGCGGCGGCAGGTGCACCCGGGCTGGCGGCGGAGGAGCGGGGATGGAGGCGTGGGGAATGGTTCCCGGCTTTCCCGGGGCCCGGGCGAGGATGAGATGGGGTGGGCTGAGACTTACGTATCTCCGCAACTTCTTCTCCGGCGGTGACTTTCGGAGCCAGCCCGAGCACACCACCTCCCCGCCGCTCATCGCGGCAGCCGGGCGCCGCCGGGCGCTGCCTCCCGGCGCTCAGCGCCGGCCGCGCCGGCCCATGGAGGGCGGGCGGGGCTGGGTGGGTGAGCGGACGGATGGATAGATGGATGGATGGGTGGGTGGAGGGAGGGAGGGAAAAAGGGAGGGAGAGATGGAAGGATGGATGCGGGGGGCGGCGAGCGCCTCCCCCCGCCGCCGCGGCCGCTGGGCTGCGAGCGGGGAAGCAGGAAACTGGCTCCTTCCCGGCTCACCACGCCTCCGCCCGCCCGGCGCCCCGCCAGCCGCGTTAAAGACACAAACCCGCGGGGAGAGGGGCTGCCCGGCCCCACGCCGCCCCCAGGGGCTGCCGCTCGTCCCTGTCCCCCCCACACTCACAGAGTGCCTACAGAGAAACTTTATCCATGCTGCAGCAGGTGATCTCTAGCAGCGCAACATTTCCTTAATTAAAAAGTACAGCTCCTCCCCTGTAATGTTTCATTATCCCGGGACCCTTCCCCTGTCTTGAGGGAAGAGGTCCTTCTCACCTCGGAAAGGCGAGGCTGGCTTTAGCCTCTCTGTGCTCAGAGGCTTGTGCCTGAGATGAAGGTGCCATAGGAAAATAATGAGGTTGAGCAAGAAACAGCCAAACACCAGTGATGCCAAAAACCCTCCTGAAGGAAAAAATATAGCAATAAAAAACCACGAGGGGAATCAATAAAAGCTTCGTATTTTATTATTGATTTTTAAGTAATGGAGCAGTGGCCACTGAAAGGGGATTTGACTGCCACTGGAGTCTCATGCAGACAAGCCAGGTTTTGTATTACAGTGTATTATACCCTGGCTGAGATTCACTATCAACTTTTAGATCTAGAAACACTGTACATTTCAAAGCCTGATCCTCTCTTCTCCAGCTCAGACAGTAATAAAACATCTCTCCACAGCCCTTCGAATTGGGTTATGCTCTAACCTTGCTTTCACTGCACCCTTTAAAGCAATACTTGGGCATGGCACCCATAAAAGCTGAGTCCTCTTAGCCCACGCTCATGTGGAAAGCACAACAATTTGCTAGGGATGAATTTCTAAGACCTGTCTCTATACAACAGCTCTGCCCCAAACCTGCTTGGGCACATTCAGTCATCCCTGCCTCAGCTTCCCTGCCTGTCCAACCTCTATGGGCAGGGATGGTCCCTCCTTATGTGTTTGTGCTGTAGCTGGTGCAATAACAACTCCATGCTGGCTGGATGTGCTACCGTATGTCACACAACAACAACCTTTATATAACGTCACTCGAGCAGGGATCTTGCAACACTTCAGAGCAGTAATTGCAACTTGCAGTGCCTCTGGGAGGCAGGAGCAACACCTCTTTTCAAGATGGGGAGAGCACGTTTAAGCCATATGTTGTTTATCATCTTTGTGAATGCATAAAGAAGGGGAATAACCCCTTACAGAACAAGTCAGTCATTTGTTAGGAATGTATTTTCTCAACAGCTTTGTTTTACTGCCAGTGAAATGCAAAGGCTAAATAGGAAGATTTTTCTATCGTCTCACTACCCAAAGGAAGAGCTTGATCCTAGTCCAGTGCTGGGCAATCTCTGCAGAAAGAGGCTGTGCTCAGATCAGCGTGTCCATCTCTGCCAACACAGCGTGTGTGGTGGGGCTGAGAGCAGGGGAGAATGGAGGGACCAGTTCTGTGCTGGCTTCAGTTGACATCACCTTATTCAGCACACTGGAGCCATATCAATTTACACCGCATGAGTGCAAGAGGCTCACCTGCAAACTCTCCTGGTTAGAGGCACTTTGTGTATTCGTAGAGAAAATTGTGTCCTGGTGGCCTGCACTTCGGAGATCTTCCCAAAACAGAAATTTCAGGGAGGCTGGTGAGCTACTGGGGATTTAGAAAGATTTGATTAAGAACAGATGATCAGGATTAATACAAAGGTATCATGCAAAACTATCCCATGGTGTATGTTAATGATTCACAAGTTAGGAATTCACTCATACTTACACCAATGCAAAGTGGTATCAGTTTGAATACCAGTTGCAGAGAACCCTGTCTGCATTTTTATGCTAACAACTTCCACCACACAGAGTTGGAACACTTCATTTGGGTAATGGATGTTTAAAGAAAAGCTCCATAATTATCATTGTGTGAATTGGAATGAATTATTCTACATGTTCTATGACAGCCCTTGGTTTATTACCTTGCTCCTTTGCTGTACTCTTCCTTCTCTCCACTCATCCCCTATTCTGGATCCCATTTACTGACTTGGTTACATCACAAGATATATCCAAACAGTGTCCAAAATATTAAGTACCCCTGTAAATTCTTTTTTCCCATGCTTTTAGTGATGCCTGACAGGTATCTCAGTTTACTGGAACTTTTGGATGGGAAATAGGTTGCATTTTCTGTACATTTGAATGTGCTGCTGTTCTCAGATGTGACACAGAATCACAAAATTATTGAAGTTGGTAAAAGCCTCCAATATCATCAAGTCCAACTGTAATATAAGCTCTGTGCAGAAAAATGCTTCAAAGATGCTGCACGTGAACGTGCCTCTCCAATTCCACTGTGGCTGTACGCAGAATGGGAACAGTGAGTTAATTCTGGCATCAGGTTTCCAGATTACATATGATCCAATGCATGTAACATTACAACGCCTTATAATGCTGGCCCTCCTTAAAGCTTTTGGCCAGGAAGATACACAAATACTACCCTCAGTGCCCCTGGGAGTTAAAGACGATGTCTGTCATGAGCACAGCTCGATTTGGCAGCGCTTGCACGTTCGTAACAGTTTTTACCAACTTCAAGCTGTTCCTCCAACCGGCAGTGGAGAATGAACTCAGGCTGGCCCCAGCTGACTGTGTAAATCTCTGGAGTGTGAGCTAACAGCCAGCAGCCTTGGCGGAAAACTGTGTGAAAACCGCATCCCTGTGTTGGAAAAATCTGACAAGGGAGTTATGCGAAGCCATCGAGAATTCATCTCTGCCAGCAGAAGCAACTGAAGGAGGAACAGCAAAATTAGCAGATATAGCAAGGGAGAAATTAAGAGACGCCGTGTAAGAAATATTTCTTGAACAAGGGTAAGGCTGAGAGAGAAACATTTTTCTAAGAAAAAGCCCTTGTACTGTCTTTAACTGCCGTGCTGGGGTGCACGACAAAGTGACACTTTCTTCTGCAGAAACCTCCGGGGTTTTTAATCGTAGCCTTCAGTGTGGTTTCTTGTGCATATCTGAAACCGAAAAATCAGAACTTCTAAGAAAGAAACCACAATGTCCACGGCTACTCCTTCCTGCTCCAAATTTATTCAAATGAGCTGTGCCATCTGCTGGCAGACGGGAAAGCTGCAGGCGGAGCAGTTCGCTCCCAGCCGCTGGTGCAAGCAGCCGGGATGGAGACACCGGGCATTTCCTGTGCATTAAGGACCAGCTGGCTGAAACGCTCCGGGCCACTTACTCCAGCCAGGCACAAATCCCTTGGAAATGCCCTATACGGTGGTTAATATAAACCGAAACAGGCTGTGGGGATGGGAGAGGAAAGGCTTGAAAAATCTACCGTGTGCTGCTTCGTGCTCCTTGCCTGCTTTTAATTCTGAGCGAATGCTCGGTCTCGTGAGATCCAGCTCCACAACAATAAGACCCGACTTTATCTTCATGCAACAGTTCCTGCAGCAGAGCGGGATGGAAGCAGCTTTTTGATTTAATGAAAGAATTTTCAAGGTTAAAAAAAAAACCAAAAAAACCACCTCTTTCAAGAAGGCAAGTCTTTTCAAGCTTTCCACCCTCCATAGAAGAGCACAGCAAGCCCCCCAGAATGACTGCAATTGAAGCCAAACCACAAGGCAGTCCTTTCCTTCTTGTGACAGCAGCTCCAGCAGCACTGGCTGCTTTCCATGAGCAGAGGGAATAGTAGCAAAAGGTGCTTTGATCAGATAATGAGACAGTTTGAAGCATCTTCCGTGGAGTGTTGTGGCAAAGACAGGGGCATCAGTCTGATGCCTTAATACAGGCTTGAAACAGAGATGAGATGATGCAGGTCAGCAGTGTTCAAGGCACATAGATTTGCATGGAGTTGATGGTCCTACTTTGTCCTCTCTCTGTTGGAGATCCTGGCCAGAACCAGCACATCCCATCTGGGATGGATACAGACCCCCTGGGCAGCACAGGAAGGCGCCTGGGGTGCTGAGCTGGATAGCGTCTGTGGCTGCAGCTGGAGGACACTGCCAGTCCTCACACTTGAAGATGATTAAAGAAGACTTCCTATTCCTATTCAGTCAACACTGAAGCCCAGTGCTATTTCTCTCACCAAACTAAACACTTAGAAATAACTTTGCCTGGAGCTGAGCTGGGGCAGAACACTACTGATGCATTTCTCAGTTCTGGACCCAGGTAGAGTTTTTTTCTTTGCGCCTGGTGATTCCTTCTAGTGTGGATGAGCTCCTTATGCAAAGTGTCTTGCCTGGATCCAGACACATTTTTGGCAGCGACTTTTACCTTTTTCCTCCCCATCCCTGCAAATGCTATTTTTACCACGGAAGTGAAGGAAACTACGAGATTTCCCATTTTTTTCTCATCTCCTCAAAACAGAAAACCATTATACAATTGCTTGGTGGAAAGTGCACCAGGCAACACTCCAGACACAGACACTGTTCTGACATAAGCATAAAGGCCACTTCATCTTTGTTTTTCCCTGATGAGACCGGCAGCTCAGCATGGGAAGGACTCCCTCTATGGACACTATTTGGCACAATGGGGCTTTGACCGCAGCTGGACCCAGGGCAAGCAACCATAAAACAAATGATAACAAAACAGGCGGGGAGGAATCTTTGCCGTGCTGCCCTGCCTGCTTACCCGACCCCGGTGCACTCTCACATCCTTAGGCATTACTTCAAGAGCAGATGGTGCTCTGTGGTAGAGCAAATGAGCAATTATCCTCCTGACACCCTGCAAGGCCTCCCCTTCTTGCGATTGCAAGAAGTTACTTCACCCCAAGCTAAGAGCTGTTGTCTGGCTTTTCAGCATAATTGGATGTAATCAAGTTTAATTTGGTTGGTGCAGTAACTCTGAAGACTTTTGTAACTGGATTACTG